AACTTATTAATTATATGATTTTAGGTTTTGTAGGAGGCCTATTTGAAGCTGGAATGCTAAAAGATTGAGATATTGATTTGTCCAAATTCAAGCCAAATGTAAAAAAAAATTGCTGGTGAATTATATTGAAGAATTAATTTTGGAATTATTTATAATTAAAGAAGACAAAATCGTTGATGCCAAAAGAGCCTCTTCTATGTCATTCATATCCACTACCTCACAAATTCATTTCTATTAACTCTCCATCATCAACACCTCCACTATGCCAATATTGTAAAACCGAGCCACCTAAAAGACGTATGATTTTCATCCAAGTGACGTGGTTGTAAAATATGCTACAAACCACGTCGGTTGTTAGACAAGCGCCATAGTAGAGTGTCTAATGCCATGGTCAAATAAAATACATTTTAAAAGCATAACAGTTTTATGAAACAACGCCCTGGATCCAAAAACACGCTAAACTCACTCTTTCAGACCTAATGTTTCACGCCCACTCAATCTTCTAACTTCCCTCTCGACGAAAAGTCTATTTCCTCTCTCCCTCTCTATCACATCTCTGAAGTCTTCGAGTTCACTGTTGTTGGTGTCGTCGATTTCGAGTTGTGTTGCCGTCGACATTCATGTTCGCTGCCCTTGGCTACTGTCGATTTGTCGTTCCTTGGGCTTCCTTGTATTGCATATGCCATCGGAGGTCACTGATCTCCCTCAAGTTTGCGACTTTCTTCACATCTTGCAATAGCTTGGTTAATATTGTTGGAGTATCGTGTAGGCGACATGACATGCTTAGAGATCAACTACAAAAGGATATTACAGAAGCTCTTGAAAATGGTAATCTTCCAATAGGGCGAGGCTTAAATCAAGAAACTTCTCTTAAGCTTGCCGGTGATACAAGTTGGAACTCACATTATAGTACATTACCTAGTATCATTTCCATGTTCAAATCTATGGTGAAAGTGCTTAAATTGATTATTGAGGATGTCTGTGTAAGTCTTCTAAGCTATTATAACTTGAACACTAACCTTGTTCTGCCATTGAAGTCTTCTGTCGAACACATGGGGAGCAGCTCTTCTCTAAGATAACCGATTGCCTTAGCTCTGGAATTCTAGACGGGGTGAATATCCTGATGAGTTGTGTGTGTCGGCTCTTAGAGGGAGCTGCCCTATTTATATGCATCACTCAAGGAGTCTTGCCCATCAAGAGACTCCTTGAGTTTTCCTTATTGCAATAGAACAGTGACTCCTAATTCTAATAGAACTAGAAACCCCTTTAGCCTTGTAATCCATTTAGAACACTGATACAAGGGCTGCTGGACGAGACAGATTTAAGTCCTAGATTAATCTGGAGTTCTTGCAATCCGACATAGATTAGAAGACCACTTTCGTGAGTTTAAGATAGTAAACTATCTTACATTCTCCCACTTGGTCAAATAATCATTGTGACTCAAGATTAATCACTTAATGGCCAATTTAGGACTTTAAAATTTCTCAGTTTCTTATCAAGCCACTGTCATTGGTATGAACTCATACGGAACTGTCAAAGCACATTGAATAAATAACATTCAAGTCATTTGCAACCACACATATAAGTCTATAACAACATATGAGGCTGCCAACTGAATTAGGATCAAATAATTGTTGAGATCTGCCTTAGGATGTGTTTGATGATCAAAACAATTCTTAGCTCATCCTTACAAGACTACCAAGGTCTTAGCAAAACTATCATGGCTCCTTCATGGATACGAAAATGCAAAACATAGGTGCTAGCAAATTTTGCAGATTCTTCCTTCATCTATATGCCAAAACATTTATAAATTGGAAAAACACAATTTAAGAAAACTTTGAATAACATTATCAAAATGTAAACTGTAAGAACAACTTCGATTGAAACTAATTAAATGAAAACAGACTTAACTCTGGCTCCCACTGACTCCCACTGACTTATCAAAACTGATCTGCAAACCCATGCTTTTAACATGTCTATGAAAAACATGATTAGGCAAGCCTTTGTTCAGTGGATCTGCAATATTAAAATCTGTTCCAATATGATCTAAAGCTGTATGACCATCTCGGATCTTTTCTTTAGCTGATAAAAACTTTAACTGCAGGTGTCTTAATCCTCCTGATTTTTTATTCCCTTTTGCAAAATAAACTGCAGCACTGTTGTCATTCCATAATTGGATTGGCCTTTGTATGGAATCCACGACCTTTAACATTGACATAAAATTTTTGAGCCACATAGCCATTGAAGTTGCTTCATAAATTGCTAGAAACTCAGCCTGCATGGTTGAGGTTGATATGTATTGTTGTTTGACACTTCTCCAAGCCACTGCTCCTCCTGCAAACAAAAACACAACACCTGATGTACTCTTTTGTGTATCCAAACAGCCAGCAAAGTCTGCATCTGCATATCCTTCGAGTTTCAATTCTTCAACTCTTCGATAAACCAGCTTGTATTCTTTAGTTCTTTGCAAATACCTCAAGACCTTCTTGCCTGCTACCCAATGTGCTTGGCCTGGATTGGATTGAAACCTTCCAAGAACACTAATGCTGAAAGCAAGGTCTGGCCTTGTGCAAACTTGAGCATACATTAAGCTTCCAACAAGTGAGGCATAGGGCTTGTCCTGCATCTCCAACTTCTCTTGCTCAGTTTTGGGAGATTGTTCATTGCTCAATTTATCACCCTTCGAGAATGGAACATCACAACCTGTGCAGTTTTCCATGTTGAACCTTTTCAGTATCCTTTCTATATATCCCTTTTGTGATAGACTAAGTAGCCCCCTTTCTCTGTCTCGGCTTATTTCAATTCCTAGCACATAATAGTTTGCCTCTCCCAAATCAGTCATCTGAAAATGATTTGATAGCATTCTCTTAGTGTCATGTAGTAGTGACAGATTGCTGCTTGCTAAGAGAATATCATCAACATACAGCAGCATAAAAATATAATGTCTCCCTTGAAATTTTTGGTAAATGCACTCATCTAAAGGATTCTCAATGAAACCTTGAGACTTCACTACTTCATCAAACTTCAAGTACCACTGCCTAGAAGCCTGTTTTAATCCGTATATTGATTTTTGTAACCTGCAAACCAAATCTTCTTCCCCTTTTTGAATGAAACCATCCGGTTGTTTCATGTAGATTTCTTCAATAAGGTTTCATTCAAAAATGCAGTTTGAACATCCATTTGATGAAGGTGAAGATCAAAATGTGCCACTAATGCCATTATAACTCTTAGGGAATCTTTTGTTGACACATGTGAGAAAGTTTCATTGTAATCCACTCATTCTTGTTGTGTGAACCCTTTTGCTACTAGTCATGCCTTGTATCTGTCTATTTGTCCCTTTGAGTTTCTTTTAGTCTTGTAAACCCATTTGCATCCTATTGGTTTACATCCTTGAGGTAAATCAACAAGCTTCCATACACCATTCTTGCTCATTGACTGGAGTTCAGACTCCATTGCTTCTATCCACTTATCACAGTTGTCACTTTGAATAGCCTGCTTATAAGACGGAGGATCTTCTATGATATTGATGTCATGTTCTGATTCTTGCAGGTAGACATAATAATCGTTTGATAGAGCAGGTCTCTTAGTTCTTTGTGACCTTCTCAGTTCTGGGTTGAAAAGCTGCTGTTCTTGTTGATCTGTCTGCATATTTTCTGGTGCAATTTGTGGAGCTTCAGTTGTTGGATCATGATTTGGTGAGACTTGCTTGTCATTCAAGTCAGTGAATGGTAAGATAGTTGTATCTCTCAGCATATTTTCCTTTTCAGCAGGTTCCTTGTTTTCCAAAATTTCATCAAAATCAAAATTTTCCTCAGTGTCTGAATCATTTTCATCTTCAATAAAAATAGCTCTTTGAGTTTCCATGAATCTTGTGGTGTGGTTGGGACAGTAGAACCTATACCCTTTTGTTCTATCTGGATATCCCACAAAATAGCATGTTACTGTCTTGGAATCCAGCTTCTTTTTTGATGGATTATAGAACTTTGCTTCTGCCTTACTTCCCCAGACTTTAAGATGTGAGAGACTGGGCTTTCTATTGCACCATGTTTCATAAGGAATTTTGTCTGCACTTTTGGTAGGAATTCGGTTTAGCAAATAATTTGCAATTTTTAAAGCCTCTCCCCAGAGAAATTTTGGAAGCTTTTTGCGGCACATTTGGCTCCTAATCATCTCAATCAAGGTCATATTTCGTCTCTCTGCCACTCTGTTTTGTTGTGGTGTGCCTGGGTTAGTATATTGAGCCACTATACCTTCTTCTTGTAGAAATTTGGCAAAGGGTCCAAGGTTCCTTCCTCTCTCATCAAATTTACCATAAAATTCTCCTCTTCTATCTGACCTTACTACTTTGATTCTTGAATCCAACTGGTTTTCCACTTCTGCTTTATAAACTTTGAACATGTCCAGTGCATTGGATTTTTTAGATATTAAGTATACATAACCATATCTAGAGTAATCATCTATGAAGGTTGTGAAGTACTTAAAACCATCATGTGTTTGAGTGGGAAAAGGACCACAAATATCTGTATGTATGATTTCCAGCACCTTTTCACTTCTTGTAGCACCTTTCTTTCTCAAATTTGTCAATTTCCCTTTAACACATTCTATGCAAACACTGTCTTTGTCATGGTGGTTAAGTGGTGGCAACAGATTTTCTTTGTTAAGCAAATTCATTCTTTTAGCCGAGACATGTCCTAGTCTATTGTGCCAAAGTTTATAAGATTCTTCCTTTTCTGCTTTTCTTTTAGTGCTTATCACATTGATGCTTAGATTTCCAGTGTTGGGATTTGGTTTCTTGCAATTTAATCGAAACATTCCATCATTTAGAAAACCATTACCAATCATAACTTTATTTCTGAAAATGGAGAATCCAAAAACATCAAACTCAAACTGTAAGTTTGACTTTACAAGCTTGCTAACTGAAATAAGATTCCTTTTCATGGAAGGAATATAAACTACATATACTAATTCCAAAACAAAACCAGATTCTAACTAAATCCTAGCTAATCCAATTCCTTGACTCTTTCTCCATTTCCCACGAACACCTTCATCTCAGCCTTGCTTGGCAGCCTCTTTGTTTTGAACCTCTGCAGACAATTAGCCACATGAACTGTTGCACCACTATCCAACCACCATGAATCTGAAGAAATCTCAATTGCATTAGACTCAAAACAAACATTTATTTGATCAGACTTACCTTTAGCCTTCTGTTTATCTAGCCAGCGTTTGTATCTGTCACAATTCCTCTTCATATGTCCAAACTTCTTGCAGAAATAGCATTTGAGTCCTTCTGGTTTCAGACCTTTAGTTTCCTTTTCTCCTTTGTTTTTCTTCCCAAAATCTTTTCCTTTTCCAAAATCCCTTTTGAAACTGTTCTGAACCATATTAATCTTTTCTTCAGCCTTATCCTTCTTCATATTCTGTTCTTCCTGCACACAGATGCTTATGAGGTCAGTCGCTGTCCACTTCTCCTTTTGAGCCATATACGTGCTTCTAAGATGCTTGAAAGTACTAGGCAGAGAATTTATAGCAAAGTGTACCATCATAGTTTTATCCACATTGACTTTGAGTGCCTTCAGTTTGTTCCCAATTTCCAGCATGTTCAGTATGTGTGTTCTCACACATCTCTCCCCATTGTATTTTGTATCAGTACGCTGTCCCATTAGAGTTCCAATCTCAGCCTTTTCTGATTCCCGAAACTTTTCCCCAATGGAATCAATAAACTTCTTGGCATTGTCACATGATGTAATGTTTCCCCTGACAGATGGTGAAATTGACCTCCTCATGATCAAAATAGCCATTTTGTTTGCCTTAATCCACTTGGCATATTTTGCTTTTGTTCCAGCAGATGCGTCTGCATCAGGTTCTGCAGGAGCATCATCTTCAATAGCTATCTCATAGTCCAGCAATCCTAGAGCAATTTCCACATCTTCCCTCCATTTGGAGTAGTTGGAGCCAATGAGAGTTTCAATCGAGTTGTGATTAACTGAAAAACACATAGTATGAATATATTTAAAAACTGAAAAACCCCATATCCTTAAAACATGATCGATTCTCACCTTTAGGTGAAGAAATCAAAACATGTTTATCAACATTAAGACATGAAAATCACATAAGTTTCCTGTACAAGAAAAGTTCCACATCTTTGGATAGAAGAACAACCTTGATAGCCTACGTATTTCATCTCTTATGTTGTTCTACTGAAAATAATTGCACGATAAATCATTCACATCTTTGGACAGTGAATCATTCATTATGCCTTTATTTCCAACACAAATTTAATCATAAAACCTTGAATGTACAGATCTTGCTGTGTCTAAGTTGCTTTGGCTTGCTCAGAGCACGGCAGGAACCACACAAACTTTGATCAATTTTTGTTTGTCACAGCAAGGTGTTAACTCTTGCTGTGTCAAGTTTCTTTAACCTTGAAAACTTAATTATCCTTCAGTTTTCAAGTTCTAAATGCTGCAACAAAATTGGTTAGGTAGAAGATAGAATAACTTAAGCTCTGATACCACATGTAAGTCTTCTAAGCTATTATAACTTGAACACTAACCTTGTTCTGCCGTTAAAGTCTTCTGTCGAACACCTGGGGAGCAGCTCTTCTCTAAGATAACCGATTGCCTTAGCTTTGGAATTCTAGACGGGGTGAATATCCTGATGAGTTGTGTATGTCGGCTCTTAGAGGGAGATGCCCTATTTATATGCATCACTCAAGGAGTCTTGCCCATCAAGAGACTCCTTGAGTTTTCCTTATTGCAATAGAACAGTGACTCCTAATTCTAATAGAACTAGAAACCCCTTTAGCCTTGTAATCCATTTAGAACACTGATAGAAGGACTGCTGGATAAGACAGATTTAAGTCCTAGATTAATCTGGAGTTCTTGCAATCCGACATAGATTAGAAGACCACTTTCGTGAGTTTAAGATAGTAAACTATCTTACAGGCTGCACTGATAATATATGTGAAGCAAATAGGTCATTGAGAGAAATACAATCTTTTGAGTTTGCATTTCACCTCTTTTTTATGAGATCTTTATTGGGAGCCACAAATGATTTGTCACAAGCATTACAAAGTAAAGACCAAGATATTGGGAATGCAATGTCTTTAGTCAAATATTGCAAGGACACATTACAAGATATGAGAGATAATGGATTTGAAGCCTTGCTTGATCAAGTATTTTCCTTTTGTGGCAAACATGATATTGAGGTTCCAAACATGGATGATGAATATGTAGCTTAGTGGAGATCACATCGCAGAGCTCTTAGAATAACACAAATCCATCATTATCATCTGGACATCTTTATTCAAATCAGTGAGTGGCAACTTGCGGAATTAAATCATCGCTTTAGTGAGGTAAATACTGAGTTGCTTCTTTGTTTGGCATGTTTGAGTCCAAATGATTCATTCATAGCTTTTGACAAACAAAAGCTTCTTCGTTTTGCTGAATTTTATCCTTGAGAATTTACTCCCTAAGATCTCTTGGCACTTGAAGATCAACTTGGGATTTATATTCATCATATGCGTACAAGAAGCAATTTTTCTCAATTGAAAGGGATTGGTGCCCTTGCAAGAAAAATGGTGGAGAAAGGGTTGCATAGAACATTTAATTATGTCTATTTGCTTCTGACATTAGCCTTAACTTTTCCAGTTGCAACTACTTCGGTGGAGAGAGCATTTTCTGCTATGAATGTTGTCAAAGGTCCACTTCGCAACCGAATGGGAGATCAATGGTTGAGTGATAGCTTACTTGTTTATATTGAGAAAGATGTGTTTGTTTGTATTGATAATGAAACTATAATGGGACGTTTTCAGAATATTAAAACTCGTCGTGAACAATTGTAATATGGTTTTTTCTATTAATTGTGAATTATAAATTATCGTTTCATTTTTATGGGTTTATTTTTGTATAGAAAGTTTTTACCCTTTTAGACATTGATCCCTGCAAGGAAAATTCCTGGATCCATCCCTGTATCAATATACATATGTTGTGTAAACTTGTTTGGATAATATGAAATATTGGGCTGCTGTGTTCAGTTTTCATTCAAGACAATTACATAAGCATGAGGAATTAAATATAGTCAATAGAATAATATGATAATCAGCCCCACAAATCTTATTTTACAAGGACATATTATTAAATTAAAATACACATTCAAAGTGCATCCTTCTAAAATTTTAAAAGTAATATATGGATGGGGACTGATGGGATTAATTATTGAATAATTTCTTCTTCTTTTTTATTTTACTTTTGAACACTGGCTTATTATTGAATAAATTCTTTATCTTTTGAAAATGTATTTGGAAGATGGATAAGTCATGGATGTATGTTGATAGAAGATCGAAAGCATATGAGTTAGGGGTTGAAGGATTTTTAAGGTTTGCCCTTGAAAATGTTGAAAATCGTGAACAGTTTCATTGTCCTTGTGCTAAATGTGGGAATATTTTGCAATTTGGAGTTGGAATTATAAAGGACCACCTATATTTTAATGGAGTAAATCAAAGTTATCATATTTGGGTAATGCACGAGGAAAGTAACCAAACAATTACAAATGCTAGTAGAGATATGGAAGCTAGTCCTGAAGGAAGATATAGTTTTGTTTTTGAAGAAATAGGTATGAAGGAAAATGATTTGGAAGACATTGGATCTGATCCTTATGAGTTTTCCAATGTAATTGGGGTTGGCGATCAACCATTAGACCCAGGTTGTAGTAAGTATACCAAGTTATCGGCTTTAATCAAAGTATACAATTTGAAAGCAAAATATGGTACGAATGATGCATGTTTTATAGAGTTGTTAATACTCGAAGGAGATTTGCTTCCAGAAGGAAACAAAATACCTTCCTCTATGTATGAAGCAAAAAACACTTTGTGTGCTTTAGGATTGATTATGAGAAAGTTCATGCTTGCCTTAATAATTGCATCTTGTACAGAAAGGATACTTCTAGTAATTGTCCTACTTGTGGTATCTCAAGGTGGAAGATGGGCAAAGATGATATAGTGAAAGATGACATGCATGCAAAGGTCTTGTGGTATTTTCCCCCCTATCCCAAAGTTTAAAAGGATGTTCTTCTCTTGTAGGACAACGAAGAATTTGACTTGGCATGCTGAAAAAAGAGTCAATTAATGGCCATATGTGTCACTCAACAGATTCCCCATCTTGAAAACTCATTGATGATAAGTGGGTCAAATTCGGTAAAGAGCCAAGAAACTTGAGATTAGCCCTCTTAGCTAATGGCTTCAATCCTCATAGCGTTCTAAGCAGTAGATACAGTTGTTGGCTTGTTATTCTAGTTACTTATAATCTTCCCTCATGGTTGTGCATGAAACAAAAGTTCATGATGTTAACCTTATTGATTTCGGGCTCTAAACAACCCGACAATGACATAGACGTCTACTTAGATCCTTTGATTCATGTAAAGTATTTATGGAATGGAATTCGTACCTATGATGCACATAAAGGAGAATACTTTATACTAAAAGTTGTATTATTGTGGACAATGAATGATTTTCCAGCATATGGAAATTTATCCGGTTGTGTTGTTAAAGGATATAAAGCTTGTCTAATATGCGGCGATGAGACACCAACTTATAGGCTGAAAGATGGGCGTAAAAATTGTTACATTGGGCATACAAAATGGCTACCAAGGCATCATCCATACCGAAAGCAACGCACATATCTATCCTGGAGAACTTTTCACGGACTAGACCTCTCCCGACGATTGTTCGTCGGCAAAGGTGAGTTTTGTCTGGAGAGGTCGAATCCGGCAAATATTGCCGGCATGCCAACAACATTTCATTGGGAGAGATTTTCTTACTTTCAAAAAATATATGTTATTTATAAATTTTAAACATCTCAAATTAGTTTCTTTACTTTTATTTTTTGCCAACATCTTTAATTTAATATATATGTAGTTAAGTAATATCTTAGTCTTTTTAAATTACTTTAAGTAGTAATTATGTTTTAGTTATTATTTAATTAGTGAATATTTAAATATTTTATTCATTTCATAAATTACTTAATAAATAGTAATTAATTATTTTAAATTATTTTGTGGACTATGTTTTTATTTTATTTTTGTACAAAGTTAGTTCGGGTAAATCAAAGCAAATGCAAACAAGTAATTGATATTATCGAATCATGTTGTGACTTGAATTTAAGTTTCATGCCTAAAATCCATTTTTGGAAAACTAAAATACTTGGGTACCAAAACAAAATTTCCAGGATGTTTATTGAAATATATATGTTGAGGCCCAAAAAATCCATGGTTGGGCCCGAATAAATTCCAGGCCCAAAACGACACATTACTGAGGAAACACAAAAGTCCGCTATGCACGAGTCACACTCCACGTGCCATACCAAATAAATAATCCGTCATGCTAGGAATCGAGATTAAGATTATAAAATGCATTAGCTCTGCAAATCCATGCTAATTATCCTGTCAAGCATCATAATTAAAAGCATGCCAAGCTACATGCCATGCCAAACAGGAAATCATTATTGCACACCCAACCACGCAGTCCCCTTCTATTGTGAGATCCCTCAAATAATTTTATTTGAGGGACGCCTTTTAAGGTATCCTATAAAAAAAAAATTAATGATCCAAACCATCTATTTTTTAGGTCTTCATTCATAGATCATCCTTACAAAAAATAAGATAAATTGGAAACCGTTTCGACATGCAATTGTGTCATACAAAATCAATGAACACGGTGCTTTAAGAAAGTACTAAAATTTCAATAACTCAATTGAATGGTCAAATGATATCGGATTCAAGTGATTTTTTGTAGAGATGATCTTTGAATGTGTATCTACAAAATAGACGGTTTGGATTAGTGAAATACAATCCGGAGTGGGCCCTACAAGGGGTGTCCCTCAAATAATCTTATTTGAGGGATCCCTCAATGGATTAGCTATGCAAATCCATGCTAATTATTCTGTCAAGCATCATAATTAAAAGCATGCCAAGCTACATGCCAAACAGGAAATCATTATTGCACACCCAACCACACTACAAGCCTAAGTGGGTCTAAGCCACTCGAATGTCGGGGCTGACTTGAGTGGGTTGTGGTATGGATGGTAATAAGTTGTCATGAGGCCCATTGATGGGCCTAGAAATGGAGGTTCCGGGTTGCTTGGGAGCCTCGAAACTTAAGCCCATTTCTTAGGCCCAAACATGTGGGTAAGCATAAAAGAGAAAATAGTCTATTACCTTAGCTAAAATAGCCCATTAACTTAACCAAATTAGCCCAAAACCTCAACAAAATAGGCCAACACTTGGTGAGGTTGGCCCATTTATTTGATAAACCAACCCATTATCTTAGAAGGCCCATGTAACTAAAATGAAGACTTGCAAAAGCCTCAGCACTTGGCTGAAAAACAAAAGCCACAAAGGGAGCTTGGAGGTCCATGTGTGCAGAGCTGCTGGGAGGTTCCAGCACATGGGAAAGAACAAGTTTAAAGCAAAAAACATCCGAAAGATCAAAGGATTTTAGCATGCAGGCTGCCAAGAGGAGAGGCACCCTTCGAACCAGCATGTATATCTATTATCTTTCCTTCATCAGATCTAGCCATGGAAGGAGGAAAGAAAGAAAAATGGAAATAGCTGAGAATGAGAGTCTCCCACTGAGACAATTGCGGGAAAGGGCCTTGAGCACCCAAAAATCCCTGATTTTGTGCAAATGGGCAGAGAGAATTTCACCAAGATGAGGAAAGTCAAGGGAGGAGAGAAGAAAGAAAGGGAAAAGCTTGACCAAATTGGATAGAAACCATTATTCTTGGAAAAGAATAGCTTCCAACGGCTATAAATAAGGTCTCTTATACCCAATAAAGGAATAACCACATCCAGATACCAAGCTTCCTCTCTTACCTCCAAAACCCAGCAATTTCGTGCTCAGTTCATCCATCTAACCCTTGTTTTTCCTCTTGGCAGATCATTCTGATACTTGACAGAACCTCTGTCGAGCTGCCGAAAAACACTTAAGCCACTCATTGCCTAGCCTCTCTCCTCTTCTCAGCCAAAACCTCTGATAATCCTTTCCTCATTTTCCTTAGAACCCTTGTTTTTCATAGAAACTCACAGCTCTTTCCTTTTAAGGCTAAACTCATGATAACTTTGCTCCCATGCCACAAGCCTCTCATGCCAAGCTAAGATTCTACCTGTAAGCACTAATAATTCATCTGTAAGCTGTTGTTATTTTTGTTGGTGAAGATAATCAAGGTATTTCCTAAGACCCTACTTCCTTTCAAGGAATTCTTGGGGTTTGATTTCTGAACTCAAGTACAGGGGATATTTTCATCAATTCGCTTCTTATGGCAGCCCAACCCATTTCCTAAGGCCCTACTCTTTAAATACCATAATCTTGATTTCTCTTTTCTAATTACTTTATTTAGTAGTTATGTTTTAATTATTATTTACTTAGTGAATAATTAGTATTTAAATATTTTATTAAATTAAAGATATTAAACTGGTGTTGGGTGCTTGGGGGGTCCTCTTTTTTATTTATTTAAATAATTTATTTATAAATAAATAGTATAGCCGGTCGACTATATACGGGATATATATATATATATATAAAGCGTATAGCCGTGCGGCTCTAATAGGGTCTTTTTTTTCAATTATTTTTATTTTTATTTTTTTATGAATGGCTATACTCTTTAGAAAGATACTATGATCTTTTTAAAAAAATTGTTTTCCTTGATTTTTGTTTATAGGTAGTTAGAGCATCATCTATTACTGTTAGGCCATTACTCGTGTCTCTATTGTTCCCTTTTGAATTTTTATTTTTTCAGAGTTATTACCCATATGAAGAATTTAGTATT